GGGGCCCCCTGCCTGCACGACACAGGAGAGCAGCCCCAGCAGTCCTGCTGTGATGGGACTTCAGCGCTGGAGGCAGAAGTCCAGCAGATGCTCCTCGCTCCACTTGTGATCAGCAATCAGAGACCCAGCCTGCAGCAAAGCGCTGCTGCACTCGGCTGCAGAGACCCCAGCATCCAGGAGTCCCAAGTCTCTCAGCGGCTCTCAGTGGTTTGTCACTACTGGTCTGTCCCTTCACTCCACAAATTTCAAAGATTCAGAGTCATTTATATTGGAAAAGATCTTTAAGATCATCAAGTCCAACCATTAACCTGGCACTGCCAAATCCACCACTAAGCCACGTCCTTAACTGCTATATCTATCCTTAAGTGCTACATCTACCCGTCTTCTAAATACCTCCAGGGGTTGTGACTCAACCACTTCCCTGGTTAGTCTGTTCCAATGCTTAACATCCCTTTCAGTGAAGAATTTTTTCATCATATCCAATCTAAACCTCTCCTTGGTGCAACTTGAGGCCATTTCCTCTTGTCCTATCACTTCCTGCTTGGTTGAACAGACCAATCTCCACCTCTCTGCAATCTTCTTTCAGGTAGTTGTAGAGAGCAATAAGGTAGACGACATCCACAGCCCTTATCTTCTCCACTAAGCCGGTCCCCTTGTCAAAGAAGGAGATCAGATTGGTCAAGCAGGACCTGCCTCTCATAAACCCATGCTGACTGGGCCTGATTACCTGGTTGTCCTGCAAATGCCATGTGATGACACCCAAGATGATCTGCTCCATAATCTTCCCCGGCAAAAAGGTCATGTTGACAGGCCTATAGCTCCCTGGATCCTCCTTCTGGCCCTTTTCGCGGACCTCCAGTCCACTGGGACCTTCCCGGTTAGCCAGGACTGACAGTAAATGATGGAAAGTGGCTTGGTGAGCACTTGGGCCAGCTCCCTCAGTATCCCTGGGTGATCCCATCTGGCCCCATAGACTCGTGTGCATCTAAGGGGAGCAGCAGGTCACACACCATTTCCCCTTGGATTCTTGAGGCTTCATTCTGCTCCCCATCCCCATCTTCCAGCTCGGGGAGCTGGGTACTCAGAGAACAACTGGTCTTACTATAGAAGACTGAGGCAAGGAACGCATCAGGTACCTCAGCCTCTTCCTCATCCTTGGTCACTATGCTCCCCTCTGCATCCAATGAAAGATGGAGATTCTCCTTACCCTCCTTTTGTTGCTAATGTATTTATGAAACAATTTTTACAGCCTTTTACAGTAGTGTCCAAATTAAGTTCTGGTTGGTCTTTGGCCCTTCTAATTTTTTCCCTGCATAACCTCACAACATCCTTGTAGTCCTCCTGAGTTGCCTGCCCCTCCAAAGGGCATAAACTCTCCTTTTTTTCCTGAGCTCCAGCTCTTTGTTCAGCCAGTCTGATCTTCCTCCCCGCTGTCTTGTCTTTCAGCACATGGGAATAGCCTGCTCCTGAGCCTCCAAGAGTTCCTCCTTGAAGAGTTTCCAGCCTTCCTGAACTCCTTTGCCCTTCAGGACTGCCTCCCAAAGGACTCTGTCAACCAGGTGACCAAAAAGGCCAAAGTTCGCCCTCCAAAAGTCCAAGGTAGCAGTTCTGCTGACCCCCCTCCTTACTTCTTCAAGACATAAAACCTCAATCATTTCATGATCGCTATGTCCAGCACAGCCTCCAACCATCACATCACCCACAAGCAACAGGCTCAGCAGGTCACCTTCCCTAGTTGGCTCCACTCAGTGTGTCAGGAAGTTCTCTTCCACACACTCCAGGAACCTCCTGGACTGTTTCCTCTCTGCTGTATTGTATTTTGAGTAGACATCTGGTCAGCTGAAGTTCCCCACTAGAACAAAGGCTAGCAATTATGAGACTTCTCCCAGTTCTTTTAGAATATTTTGTGTGCCTCTTCATCCTGGTTGGGCAGTCTATAACAGACTCCCACCATGCTATCTGCCTCGTTGGCCTTCCCTTGGATTCTCAGCCATAAACACTCAACCCTAGGGTCACCCTCATTAAGCTCTAGATAATCAGAACACTCCCTAACATAGAGGGCTACCTCACTGCCTCTCCTTCCTCACTCAACCCTTCTCAAGAGTTTATAGCCGTCCATTGCAGCACTCCAGTTGTGCAAGTGATCCCACCGTGGTTCCATGATGGCAACTATGCCATAGTCTTCCTGCTGCTCCTGTTTCCAGCTCCTCCTGTTTGCAGCCCATGCTGTGTGCACCGGTGTAGACGCACTTCATTTGGGCTATTGATCCTGCCACCTTTTTGGGGTGACAAGCTCTAATTCCTACATGACCATTTTCAGCTGCTTCCACAGTTTCTAACACACCAATAACCTTCGTGTCTTTGCTGCCACATGGGTCTCCATCCCCTACCTCCAATGAGATGGCAGACCAAGGGACCTCACTAGCACACCATCAGACACAGTCAGCACCCCCAGAGGAGGACGATACTCACAGTCCAGGAAGCACCACTTGGGTGACAGCTTGTGGGATGACAGTGTCTTGGGTTTGGCTCCATCTCCCTCCTGCATAAAAAAAGAGAGGACAAAGTCACGTATCTTGGCCTCCTCATCTCTCTCCAGAGCATCTCTCCTGCTTTGGGAGGTCCCTGCAGACATAGAAAACACAGGCACTTGGATGGAAAGGAGAACTTGAACAGACACAGCACAGGACAGACTCAAGATGACACACACCAGCTCACTAGAGAGAGAGATGCCACAAGAAGAGACCAGGAGACCAGTGTGGTGGACATGACAGATGGGCCCGGGGGACAGAGCAAAACTATACACACCTGAGAGAGCAGGCGCTCTAAAGAAGAGGGCTGTGGAAGGAAATCCTGCAGAAAGGCAAGGTGTGCTGTTACAGCCTTTGTCTGGGCAGCACCCCAGCCCCTGGTCTCTGCCCTGCTTTGAGGCTAGAGCACAGTGGTTGCCCAGGAAAAGAGAAGAGGTAAATCACGAGGTGACTGAGGAACAACAGCCTCAATACACAGCTTTGGAAGTACAGGAGGTTGCAGAGATACGAGGGTGATGCCATAGGAAACTTAGAGGCACTAGGTTGATGCTGTAGGGAAGTGTTACCCTCTGAGCCCGGGAGATGCTAGCCACATGCCTGCCTGCACATCCTCATCAGTGCCTAGGCACAGGGCGGTCAGAGGACACGCAGAGCAAGGAGCAGATGCCAGTGTGCCAGTGCAGGCAAGCAGCTCTGCACCTCAGCCCTGCACGACACTACGCACATGCTGGATGAGATTCCCTCAGGCATGAGAGCCAGCTACCTGGAGGCTGAGCAAGGTCCCTTCAATCCAGAAAATCCAGCTGAGCAATGTGGCACCGGGAGGCACGCTGTGGGCTCAGAAGGCATTGCTCACAAGGAGCAAGGGTTACACAGCCCGTGACCCCATCACAGACATGCACTAGCACGCCGGCAGGAGCACAAAAGTTAGTACTTGCAAATGAAGAGTTGAAGGGGAGACAACTCTAATCCAGGCACGTGGAGGGGGTAGAGCTGTGCCAGGATGCACTGAGCCTGCAGAGAGCTGAAGGAACACAGCACAGCAAACAAAGGCACAGAGGAAAGACCTTCCTGAACACCCAGGGGGTGATAGGCCCCCATTGAATGTATGCTGGCTTCTTCCACTGCCCCATAATTTTTCTGAGCTGCTCACACTCTGGGCCTGGAGAACACGGTCAGAAGAGCAATGATGAGAAAGAAACTGCCAGAGAGCAGGGAGCAAAAAGCCATCCAGCTTGAGATCCCTCCTCCAGCACATGGTGAAGGCAAAGGGTGACCTGCTACCAGAAGCAGGAGTGTGTGTGTTGGTGTGTGCAGGTCGAGGAGGCTTAGAAATCCCTTCCCTGAGTCCCTCCATGCTCAGCATCCAGCCGTGACCACTTCCCACACACAAGCTCACCTCTTGCAGCTTCTCGATTTGGGTTCGGCACAACTCCAGGTCACTGTCTCCTGGAACCACGATGATGCCCAGCGGCACAGCTGCACAGCAGGATACAGACACAACTCAGGGAGCAGCCTGTGCTTCATACTCCACACCTCACACAGCTTAGCTGAGGGCATTGCCAATCTTGGGGACTGTGACTCCCAACCCCTGGTCACTCAGATGATCACTTACAGGCTTCCTTGAGCTTTTCCTTGTCATAGTGCAGTGCCTCGTAGTCACGCATGCCGATTCGGCTCACCCGGATCCGAAGCCGCTCCGGCACTGGCTGCTGGCTGCGTGCAGGGGGGAAGGAAAAGGGAAGAGATCAGAAAGTGACAGGCTGCTTCCTCCTTACACCACTCACCCGTCCAAAAGAGGCAAGAGCACAGGCTTGTACACACACTGGGCTGAACCAGTCCCATCCCTTCCCCTCCCAGCCCTCCTGCCTTGGAAAAGAGGTGACAGCTTGATCTGAGGAACCTACTCATTGAGCAGAGGCATGGAGTTGCGCCGCTTGGTCTTCTGCACCATGTTAGCTTGGTTGCGCAGGGAGATGTGGATGCAAGAAGCCGCCAGCTTGCAGGGCTCTCCATCCACCTGCATGGGGATGGCCTTGGATGTGGTGAGAACCACCTGCCGGCACTGGCACAGCCGCTCCCCATGGCCACCAACCTGCAAGGCAGCCTGTGAAAGGGTCCAGAGTGAGAGCAGAGCGCAGACACAGAGCATAGGGGTGGATGGGGGGAGCCAGATGTTGCAAGTCAACCAAGTTCTGAGAGCCTCAGGTCTGATCTCAGTGGCAAGGGATCCACAGAGATGAGGGCATGACAGCACCTTGCCTGACTCTCAGAGGGCAGACACTGTCACACAGGTCAGCATCACAACTCCTCGGAGGAGCATCTGTGGAGCTGATGGGCTGGCTCATGCTCAGTCAGTGGGACCAGTCTCTCCCTTGGTTGCTAGCTACAGTGAGAAACAGCATTGACTCACCAGGGATGTCATGGTGAAGCCGATAACTTCAATGCAGCCATCATCATGGCGCTGTGGCTCAAAGTCATGGTGCTCCCCAGGGTTGCCCCAGGGCATGGTGCCTGCACAGTACCTGTGAAGGGACATGAGTGATGCATGGGCAGGCACCCCAAACCTGGGCAGGGATCTGTGGCATGGGGGTGACACGTCCAACACATGAGGACAGGTCCTGGGGCCGCTCACCTGGGGATGTTCAGGAAGACCAGGCACTGGGGCTTCAGGTCCTGGATCTTGGAGGTCAGGTCTGTCCCATCACACTGAAGACAACACAGGGGTGTTCAGGCTGCTGTAAGGGGGGGCCTGGCCCACCCTACACACTTGGGAGTAAATGGCCCCCCTGCCTCTGCTCTCTATGGTCACTGTCCTCCAAGCCAGGGGAAGCTTATGCTCGCAGGAACACATCCTCTCCCCAGCCATGAGATACTCAAGTGTGCCAACTGCTCCTCACACTTCCACAGCTCATCCCCCTCCCTTGTCCAGAGTATCCCTGCACACTCACAACAAGCTTGACGTGCTTTGCCAAGTCTTTGGAGCTCCCAGTGAGGAAGTCAGAGAACGCCGTCTGCCAAGGTAAGAAACAGTTAGTGCCTAGACGTGCGCTGGAATGGGCTGCCTGCCCCAACCTTCAGACCTCAGCTGCTGAAAGCAGCAAATCTCCTCCTCATACACTGGCAGTACACCCACTCCTCTCCCCCTCCCAAAGCAACCTGATCCACTCCGCCTGCTATTTTGTCTACCAAAAACCTTGGGGTTTGCCTTCAGTAACATGCCCTAACACCTTAGTCCTGGCTTTAGCGAAGAGCTGGCAAGGCGGGTCTCCAGTGAGAGGCTGGAGTCACAAGAGAAAAATTCAGTCTCAATCTCTAGCGAAGTACAATAAAACAGACACATCAGGAGAGACAGTATGGCCTCTGTTACACAGACACTAGGGTCCCCTTTCAGTTTCACCATATGGAGAGGAGGGATGGTACAGAGCAGCATTCCATTTTAGTACTGCTCGTATACTGGTCACCCAGCCACCCGGGTAGGGAGGTATATTGAGAACAAAGATGGCCCTGAGACACTAAGCTCTAGAGGTGAGATACTGGAAGGTGGCATAATTACCCAGGGAGCTGTAACTGGCCCAAGGTATAAAATAAAAGACCAAAGCAATGTGGGGACTCTATGGAAAAGCTTCCCACTCCTCTGTGGGGGGGAGAGCCTGCCTCCCCACAGCTCCGGGGAGGTCCTGCCTGGGTGACCCATCCATGAGATGGAGAATAAGAACAATAGTGGCAGGAGATCAAGACAGCAACTGTACCACAGGCCAGAGAGCAAGCTGTACCGCCAGCAGCGCTCTCAGCCAAAGACAAGCTGTGACTCCCAGGGCTGCAGCCTTTCTCCGGCAACTCTCTGGCTTCAGAAGGGCTCAGCTTGGATGCACGTGAAGGCTCGTGTAACTCAGATGAGTAAGTTTAGAGTGTGGACAGGACGCAGGGCCATGCCTGTGCTCCAGCTAATGCTAAGGCTGCTATGATTACATGCTCAGATGTTCTCCACACACTCACCCCAGCGTAGAACATTTTATTCCGAAACCGGCTGTTGAACTTCTCTGGGTTGGCCTCTAGGGAAAGGAGAAAAAAAGTCCAGGTCATTGGACTGCAGATGGAAATACTTCATTTGCCAGTTCTCCCCAGACTCGGCTCTCCAGCCAGCTTTGGCCAGGAGGCAGCCCCCAGCTCTCTTCCCATGCAGGCACCCCTCTTCCCCCTCTGCAGCCCCAACTTGCTCCTCAGGCTTCACCTCCAACCCCTGTCCCTGGGGCAATGCTCTTGCTCAGTTTCCTGAGGAACATTTTACAGGAACTCCCTTAACACAGAGCCTGCCCCAGCCCTGCCATCCCCCGTACCTCGGGATTCGTGGAACTCCAGCGTCACTCGCGCATCAAAGCCGAGGCTGAAGTAGTTATTAAAGACATCCAAGGGGAGCTGAAATGGAAAGGATGAAGCTGCCAGTGTGTGGCCACAGCAAAAACAAAGTCAGGCTACAGCAGAGCCATGTACGCTGTCCACGAGGCTGAGGGAGACCGTTTGCCTTCCTCCCAAGAAAATACATAGGTCACCAGTCTGAGACGATGGATTGGACCCTGGATTCTAGGAGTAAGGGAGGTGGCCCAAGAGGACACACTCTGCTCCTTGAGATACTTCTGCTCTCTGAGATATCTGTTTCTGCCTAAAGAAACAGTCTCAGCAGGGACTAGGCTTATACTTGTTGCAAGCTGTAGTTAAAAACCTCTGGTGGTCATTTAGTTCTGATCCCTACATGCCTCACCATGAGTGCTATGGGTCAGAGCCACGAGGAGAGGAGCGGAATTGGAGCAGGGAGAGGAAAACACTGACTCAACACCGTAGTCCCACGTGCTGGGGCTGCCTGAGCCAGTGGGAGAAAGGAGAATGCAGCACAGCGAACAAACACGAAGTGTCCTACCTTGTCAGCGGCTGCCTCATCCTTTTCCTCAGGGTTTGCGTCAGGGTTTGGCTCCACATGTAGGTTCCAGCGATCGAGCTGCACAATGTTCCCATCTTCCACGTGTGACAGGATTTTGGACAGTGGCTCATCCGTGTAACCCTGGTAAAGAGCAGGACTTGGTGAGTCTCCTCTCTGCCTCCAGCAGAGATGCCCCTAAGACAGTGGGCTTTGGGAAGAACATCCCAGAGCAAAAGATGTGGAACAGATCGATTCTACTTGAATGCACAACAAAGTGAGACTTAAATTTAAAACAATACATTTTCCTTCTAAAAATCTCCCGAAGTTTGAAATTATGATTTCTTCTGTTAATGTCCTAATAGATTATAATATAATGCAGAATAAGTCAAATGTCAGAAGAACAGTAACAGCCAAATGGCACTTATTTGTTGGTCTGTATTTAGGGAAAGTCAGAAGACCCAGCCCATGCAAATCCCCACCCATGCGTCGACGCACTCAGCTCCTGCTGACAGCAGTGGCATCTTGTGCCCATCACTTACCCCACCCCAGTTCAGTGTCCTGGCCAAGTCATTCCCTGTTCCCAAAGGCAGGATGGCCACAGGAGGAGGTGGGTTGAGGCGTAACTGGTCCAGAATGGAGAGTATCCAGCCTACCTGCTCAAGCAAGGGAGTGTAAAGAAGCAGTTGGTTATTTCAGTGACCGGCAGGCAGGCAGAGGTGACCTGGAGCACTAGCGATGGCAGAAGGGCAGAGATGGGGTCCCCTTAGCCACCACCACCAAGGGTATTCACAGTCTTTAAAGCTCCAAACAGGTGCTGCACGAGATATCAGTAAGCCCAGTGAGGACACTGATCCCCAAAAGGGCTACAAATCCAGACATGACACAGACTAGCACTCCCTGGAGCAGAGCATGAAGGGACCCACAGTACTCAATGCCACCACCTGTACCATGGACACAGGGTGCACATTTTGCCCTGTTCTGGAGGTGGGTCGCTGCCAGCACTGGAAGGGCCTGGGGTGAAGGGCAGTACAGGCACGAAGGGGCTGGGGGACTCACCGTGCCATCTCCCCCACACGCCAGGATCCGGAGGTTGTGGACTTTGCGGTACAGCTCCAGCCTGCGGGGAACAGGGAGGGTGAGGAGGGGAGGGAAGAGGCATCAAAGGTGTCCTTGCCCTCAGAGCCCTTGGCATTCACAAAGCCACATGTGTGTCTCCCTCTTCATCCCCACAGTAACTTTGGCTTCACCAGCTCTTGCGGAGGAAGAGCAGGGTGTCCACAGCGTGCGTACACACAGATAAACCGAAACGCAGCAAGCAGACAAGACTCACACATGGTAAACTGAATGTAACGAACTAGGTCTGAGAACCTCACCCCACAGCTGGTCTCTTCGCCAGCAGTCTTAAGATCTGACCAGCCTTCTGTCAGGGAACACTGAGGCCTCTCAAAACACGAACTCGTTTGGAGGTCTCTTTGTACATGGAGCACATGGCCTCTGCCAGACATGGGAAGAGCTCTGGGGAGGAATCTCTGGGGCAGGGATGGGGGAGAGAAAGGTGCTGCCCCATCAGTACTCACGCCTCCTTGGGTCCACCCTGGCTGAGGTCAAAAACTTGCCGCGGGTTGAGATACCACATGAAGGACTGGATGATCTTGGCTCCCTATGGGGAGAAGAAAGACTTCACATATCAGGGAGTTCCCAGTAGACAGTAGAAGAAGGCATCTGGTCCTGGGGACAGACCAAGACACCATTATTCTGGGGGAACTCAAGCAGAGCCTGGCCTAGGTGGGAATTAACAGGCAGCAAAGTGGCATTGCAGGGGTTGTCCTGCCTGTTTTGCGGCTGAGACATCACCACCATGATGATGAGACCTCAGCAGCCAAATGGCAATGCCCTTACAGAGCTGCCTTCTCAGGGAGATGCAGGACAAGGCCATACCTGATTCCCACCGCTCTTGGGGTTCACAAACACCAGCAAGGGCTTCATGAGAGGAGCTGGCATGGGCTTGATGACAAAGGGTTTCCACCTCCCTTCCTGCAAGAGACATTGCAAGAAATGAAAACGCCCACCTCCACCTGAGCCCTAACATCGCGCAGGCCAGGAGTGGTAGGAAGAGAATGTCTCAGCCACCACTTAAGTCTTAGAGCTGGGATTTGCCCTGCTAGCATGCACCCTCCCTCCGCCTCACTCTCCTTAACCTCAGCACAGACTCAGCAAAGCTCCCTTGTTTCCTAGTTCCTCTGCCCTTCCAAGACAAGGTCATTCCTCATCCCTTCATCTCTTACCTCTGCCCCCTTTTTGCTGGATTTCCGCCTGAATGATGTTCTCTTCTTTTTCTTACTAGATTTCAGGGGATTCTAGAGCAAAAAGAAACAAAACCATGAGGAATGCGGGGCAAGCAAGAGTTGTGAAAAGAGCCACAAGAGCTGAGGTGACTTACCTGGGGCCGCCGGACCCGCAGAATCCAGGTGGGAGGAACGACGACAGCAGCATGAGCCCCCAGCGAGCAGGGCTCTTCGATGTGTTGCAGCATGAAACATGACACTTTGCTGTGATACTGAGGAAGGAGAAGTTTGTTCAGTTTGCTGGGGACAGCCACCTCCTCCTCTTCCCAGCTCCCTCATGCCAGTGCAGGGAGTGCTGGAGAAAAGCATGCAGGAATTTTGAAACGGGAAGGCAACGAAGAGAACGTTTCTCAGAGGGGCTCGCAGCTACCACGCTATAACCTCTCTTAGTCAGAGCTGTTAAGGGTAGGCTACAGAGAAGCAGCTTGATGAGTCTCAACCGAAAGCAGAGGTCATTAGGCGCAGAATAGGCTGGTATGACATTCAATGGGTGCTTTGCTCACCGCTTGTTTGCACCAGGAACAGCTGATGGCTACAATCTCTTTACTGTGGAAGGCAAACTTCTGCTGGAAACCCTGCGGAGGGAAGAGTAAGAGGCTTAGGGAATTCCCTTACAGCTTTCTACCATCCAACAGGACTTTCCCACTACTAAGAGAGACGTTAACAAAGAGAGCACGCCTGCAGCTGGGGCCCTCCAGATCCCTGTCAAATAGCCCCAACCACCACAACAGCACCGGGGAGGCCACTGCGCTCTGCAGGGGTGTCCCCATTGCTCAGGGAAAGCATGTCAGGAAGGCAGTTCCCTCCAAGACTGATTTGGCCCAGGGGGAGAACTCTATGTGGGAAGCACTTTTAAGCAGTGCTTCACTGTGCAAAACGGCATGTGGGTTTTGCTGTAGGCTGCTGCTGCCAAACGGGAATGGTGGGATGTCCTTAGTCCCCAGCCCTGTTCTTGGCTCTGTTTTGACCTTAGCTCTCCTTCAGCCTGAGAATAAAACCAAGATGCCCTCTCACCTTGCCACACTGCCGGCATTTCCCTTCCTGCCGCCTCCGGTGTACCCAGTGATGCCGGACAACAATGGGCTAAAGAGAGAAAAAAAAGGGGGAATGAAAGGCCCAGTGAGTGAGGGAATGCAGAAACAGGGAAGAGGAAGGGACCCAGGTCAACCAGAACCTCTGTTCTTGCAGCCAGCCCACTGCTCACATACACCAGCCCCAAGCCTCTAGAAGGCAAAGACAAAGAATCAGGGGGCAAAAGGCCAAATTAAGAGAGAAGAGGGAATTAAAACCAGAAAAAAACAGGAAGGAGAGGAGGGAAACTGAAGACTGAGGATCACACAAAACAAACCACACAAATCACACAGTGGAAAGTGGGCAAGCAGTAGAGTGGAGCACTGCTTTGGCCATAAAGCACATCTCCATCCCTTAACACCTCTGCCCAGGTGCTCCCAAGTGTCAGGTGAAAAACATGCTGGTGGAAAGTGCAAAAATCCCCAGGGAGACACAGTTTGTGCTCTCAGCAAGAAGATGGAAGTGCTTGCAGCTAAGCGGTGAACCACCCAGCTCCACGTTCCTCAAGGTGAGCAGCAGCCTCAAAGCCCTCCCATACCCATTTCATTCTGCTCTTTGCCCCCAGGCAGGTCCTGCCAGGCTGCCTCAGCCCCTGCCTGCAAGGAGGGGAGTGTGGCTGCTTGCAGACACCTTCTCCCTGCCTGTGGGCTCATGGTGGGACTTGTAGGGACAACTGCGAGAGGGTCAGAAGTTCTGTACCACATTTCCTAAATCCCACCCTGGATTAGGAATAGCACTGTAGGGAGTGTGAGTTCGCAGCCCAGCACGATAGGGTCCAACAGTCTGCTCTGGACAGCTTTTGGGATCATGATGGTGACAGAGGCAGAAACTGGGTCAGTTCCAGTATTGCCTGCCCTGAGAGCAGCACATGCGAGAGGATGACTTCTGTTGGCTTTAGTGGACATTAATCCGGTGGGTGGAAGCAGAAGAAGGGCTATGCACTGAGCGCAGCTCTAGTTCCCAGCAGGCAAATCCAGTGAAAGGGCTGACCCTGAAAGAGAACCCTAGCAGCACAAAGAATAGCACTTTTCTATGGAAACAGGAGGGAAGAGCCATTGCAGGAATTGAGGAATATTAGAAAGACAGGATGGAGAAGCACGGTTTGTGAGAAAACAGAAGAAAACCAGGAAAGGGGAGGGAGATAAAAATTGTAGAGGTTGGAGAGGAGGAAAATAGATACAGAAGACTGAGTGGGGGCAGAGTGTTGACAGCAGACTCCAAAAAAGTAAGGACAAATAAGGGAGTTGGGCTAAGAGTGATAGGGAAAGGAAGCATGGCGGGAGACGCAAAGGAAGAAAGGGAGGCTTAAAGTGGCGCTGAAAGCTTCACCTTATCAATTCATACTGACATTTCTGAGTAGGTAGCCCTGTGTTTGAGTACCTTTCCCCTGCTGCTGCTGTGCCAGCACAAACACACGTGGAGGGTAAAGCATGGAGGCTGATAGGCACTTCCACCAGCAAAGCTCAACAGACAGGTCCCAGGCCACTGTACTTACACCCAGTACATTAAAACACAGAGTAAAGGGGTCTGACAAGCACCACTATGGGCATCTTTCACTGCTACCTGGAGTCCCAGTGGCACACAGGTCAGGACTGAGTGATAAAGTCAGAAGTGAGCCCGTACTGCTTCTTTCCAAACTATGGGAGACTTGGGGACCTGCTGTTTTTCACAGCCTTCTCTACATGCTTGGGGATCAGCACAAGGGGGAATAACCTCTCCCAAAAAACACTGTTAGCAGGTTCCTGACATGCATCTGCAGGAGCTTTAGAACATGCAAACCAGTAGATGCTCCACATTTGCTGCCTGCAAGCTCCTCACTCCTCATACCCACTCTATGCTCCTGCCTTGCAAAGAAACATCTCTTTTACTGCGCCATCCCCTTGGAGCCAGGAGGCAGCATGATGCCTGTGCTCTGAAGGGCAACGTGCTGGCAACATCTGACTTCTTTGCCACCAAACTGGAAAAGGACGCAGGGCAGATGTGGGCAGCGTCTGAGGCACGTCTCTCACCTCCCGTACGTTGCGGGATCCTGACTCCCTGAAGGAAGGTTTGCAGCGGAAATTTATCTGTAGATTGAACACACATGAGAGGCATCAGTAAAACCATCATACCAGAAGGAAACCTACTGGAGTTTACTACATCAGGCTCAAGGCCACTGGAGATGTTCAGTACTTGCCACAGACTCCCTCACATATCTCTGTAACTGAACAAAATGGGGCCTGGGGTCCCAATCGTGTCTCTAGATGCTCATTTTGGTACTGTCTCCTCAGATGACCTCTCTTTGCAATGACATACTGCAGTTCCCCAATCTTCTTGTGTTTCACTACCCAAGAGGAAGGGCCGCCCAGGAAAAGGCTGTTACAGCTTTGCGAGCCACACAGAGGGTTTAAAAGGCCCTACTCACTTTCTCCAGCTGTTCAATGCAGGGGGTGTGTACTACGATCTTGCAGGCTGCACACTTACGCCTGGAGAGAGGTTTTTGCTGGAGGATGAGAAAAGGGGAGGAAAAAACCACATGTGAATAGCAATGCTCATAGGCTGTCACACTCAGCCTCCCACCACACCTCCTCCATATATTTCAGGATGTAGAACCAGTCCTATAGGAGAGTTAGATACAACCTAGGCTCCTTGCAAGTGAAGGGAACTAAGCGTGTGCCTAAAGAAGATGTTCTCGAGTCTGGCATAGAGCAGTGAGGTGCCCTTCAACTGCCCTATTCTGCAGTCTTTGGTCTCTTCTGACATTATTTGAGGGCACCATGGAAGCTGGCACCTCCAGGGCTCCCATGGCAAGCACCATGGGCAGGCACAGGGTGGCATCAGTGCTCCATGTCCTGCACCACAAGTGGGCTCACAAGGACTAAGCCTGCAAGCTGGGAGGGAGGACTGTAGCAACCCTGTAAGGTCAGTGCTGCCTGTGGGGTCAGGAGGCAGCAGGCTTGGGTCTCCAGTGCTCACTTTTCTCATCTATTGAAAGATCTTGGATTCAGATTGTCCCTCTAAGGGAGTGGAATCCCAAAAGTCTTTCCCTGGAATATCATCCTATCGTGTCCAGGCGAGCAGCAGCCCTGTGTCAGGTTCCCACTGCAAACTGTCAGAAATTGGGGACACAGTCCTCCGGCACGCAGGGGTAGAAGGGACACACTCCCCACCTTAGCAGCCCCCCCAGATCCTTGCATGTTCCCCAGCAGCAGCAGCAGCAGGACCTTTGCAGTCTCCCAGCCAGGTGGCAGCACAGCCCAGATCTGCAGCCCTGGTCAGGAAGGTGGGTGATGTCTGTAACTCACCAGCAGCTTTGCCATACAGTTTTGCTCTCCAACGTAGCAAAAGTCCCCAGAGACATTGGTCTCAAACCAGATGTGCTCCCCATAGACTGCAGTCTCCTGAAAGGCACAAGACAACACGTTTCTCTGAGAGCACACCCTGACAGGTATTCGAAGCTCTAAAACGCTTTGTGTGAGCTACAAGGTACCAGAAAATGCTGCGGGGTGGGAGGTTGGAGCTAGGTGTAGGCCAGGAGAGAAATACACAGAACAACCAGGATCAACACCTGGACAGAGCAAACCTCAGAAAGCTTCTGCCATGGCCCCACCTGTTGGAAACGAGAGGGCCCCAGGAAATCAGCTCCAAGATCTTAACAGCCCACTTGCAGTGTCTTGCAAAGGGAAGCTGCTTCCACCACCTCCTGAGAAGAGGCATCGGGGAAAGTTCGAAGCAGGGGACTCTCCTGAAACAGCTGCCATTCTATGACCTCAGAGTGCAGCTTAAAACCTGCCAGGCTTTGCCTGCAAAGACCTCGGCTGCCAGGAGCAGAAGAGCTGGCAGTGGAGTAGCTATGCCATCCTCCCAGGAACCACCTGCGCCTGCACAGCCTCTCCTTGCAGCACCAAGGAGTGCTGCCAACAGCACAGATGCTGGCACCAGCTGGTGGCAACAGTGGAGGCCATAATATGTCAAAGCCAAAGTCACCTGGGAAGCCTCAGCCTGGGAAGAGCCTGCTGCTTCTTGGCCAGGAGCCCATTTCATACAACGCCCAGCGAAACGTGCTACAACTTACGCTCCAGTCCACAGTGTTGCGTATCTGCCTCTCTGTGTCGCTCCTCAGGGCTAGCGCAGGGTTTGGCTGGGCTACCATGTGCTGGAGGCTGGACTTGGCAATAGCTTTCCTGGAAGACACAGGAGGGCTGGCTATTAGATCAGGGAAGGAGGAATATGTGCAAAGCACAACCTGCTACTAGGGCGGACAGTGATGCTGGAGTAGAAAATCATCCTCAGGACCAAGTGTGTGGAAATGAGGCAAATCTCCAGCACCATTAGCTGAGGAGTACCCACTCCTGCAAGGCAGCTCCATGGGACTAAGAGGTGCTGGCCACGCTCCTGACGGCTCAGGTGAAGACATCCTGCACCCAGCAAAAGGCACAGCTTGGGCCTGCTGGGTCAAAGCCCTCAGGGACGACAGGTCCATTGCAAAACAGCCTGGAATGCTCCACTGAGCTGTGGCGGTGGGGCTCCCTTTGCAGAGATAATGCAGAGCCCCAGTCCCACCAATGCTCCTCCATACCAAGGCACCTCAGAGCCTGGGACGTTTTGGGGACCAGCACAACTGGCTGGAAAAATAAGCAGCTGTTTGTCTGGGGCTAGCAAGATTCTCCCAGACGTGCTAGGGTAGAGGAAAGGTCAGCTGGCGAAAGCACGCATCTCCAGCCCACACCCAGTCCTGCCCCCTCCTTCCAGCCCTGGACTGGCAAGAAGGGACACCCACAAGCCCTGTGGGCTGCACCGAGAGCACCAGATGCAGCGCTGGCCTGAGTGGGAGATGCTCAATGGAAGCGAGCAGTACTACAGGACACC